TAAGGTTTAGAGCTTATCAGCCGGCATTTCTGGGCTTATCTAAGCACCTAGCTGGCTGGCTGGCTCTCCGGGCTCTCACCTGCTCTCTCTCTCTCCAGCTGGCTTCGGCTGCAGTTTGCTCTCCTGTAGTTCTCCATCTCCAGCTCCAGCACCGGCAGGTGAATGGGTTGGTGGGCTGCTTTCCGCCAGCCATTCGCGAATTGTTGCTAAGCCTTGACGGTTGCAAAAAATTAATACAGAAATAAAGAAGTCGTGCGTGTGTGATATCGTTATAAACCGGAGGCTCTAAGTGGCCCAAATCGAATTAAGCCGACTTGGTGACGCGTGTAGAGCTGCTCTGCTGATCCTGCCTTGAGGGGGAAAGCACTCACCCTCCCCTAGATCCGTCTGTCCGCATCTCATCAGGGGTTGCATAACGAAATCAGTTGCTTCAATTATGCGTCAGCCTAATGTCATTTGCTTTGAAGGCACTTAAAGGCCCGATGACTGCTTTTTCCCGGGGGGTTTTTCCCTTGCACCCCCTTCGCGGATGTACTCTGTGTGCCTGCTCCAGTTTGCCAGGTTGCCAGCCTGGCTATCGGGGCGGCACTCGAGTTAATTGATTAGTTCCAACGCCTTCCAGACAGGCCAATAAGTCAAGTCAACAAGCAACAACAATACCATTATCTAGCGAGATTCGTAGCCACTCAACAAAGCCCCAATTCGGTACAAATTGCAGTTCGCCAAGGCCCCCTATCTTGGCGGGGCATAAACAAGCCTCATCAGATTACCCAGGGATTACTCATGTGGAGTGGCAAGCCGCCGAAATGGTGTAGAATTTTCCGCAAATCAATAAACACTTGCCCGTGCCGGCGGTCAGGTGGCAATTAAAATTGGCAAATTGCCTTTCCTTATTCGCTATTCGCCTCGCAATCGATATTTATTTACAACGTAACTTCGGAGGCCGGGATTGGGATTACTCATCCGCTCTGGCCCAGTCGAGGCTGAGTAATTGAAGCTGCAAATGAAATTAGCCAAAAACAAAGCACAAAAAAAGGGCGATAGCAAATGAAAATTGGTACATAAAGTGACTTAATGTGCATTAGACATGCAATGCCGGCATGTCTGGCCAAGACGGGGAACCAGTTCCCTCATCCGACTCTCTCTTTATTTTGAGTTCGAGCTGAAGTTCTCCCACAGCCCACAATGGGTTAATTCCCGGCCTCAAGTGCCCGTGTCCTTGTCCTGGGAATCCTGCAAGCTGCCACTGATTTGCCGTTGTAATTGATTTTTTTACACACTCAAGAGGGAGAGTGAGGAGGGGGGCCAGCACCCGATGTCATTACCAGGGCACAGTTCACACTTGAAGTCGACTTGACCGTGCGCTGGAGGCTCAACAATTCCCAGCTGCCCGTGTCGCGTGCTATAAATTTTATTGATTCCAAGGGGGGTGAAGGCGGGGTGCTTGGTCTGGTTAGTGGGTTTCCAGCGGGTGATTGGTGGCGGTGGTGGGTCCAGCGCATCGTGTAAATATATCCTTCCGCATTATGTTGCTGCTCATCCGGCAACAGTTTGGGCCGGCGCCTGCGGGTAGGCAATGCGGCGGCAGAGGCAGCGACAGCGGCGGCGATTCAACCCTCCGCTGCGACCTCTGCGAATGCGAAACCCTCCCCGGGTGCGCTCTCCGGGTCGGGTCGGGTCGGGAACTGGGAACTCCGGCAGAAACTCTCCCAGCTGAGCGCTGAATTGTGGTGCGGCTTTGCCGGCGCTGAGGCCCTTGGGTGCGATGTGTGCTCTCAGTTCCTTTCGATTTGCCGATTCGGTTTGTTCGTCCTTCGCGCGCTAAAATATATCCTGCCGAGCAGCAGGGCAGGCACAGTACAGAGCACAGCAGAGCAGCTCCAGTAGTCAGCCAGCCGAGCAGCAGTCAGCAAGTCCTTTGCTCTCCCCCACATAGCATCGCGTAGTGTTTGTTTAGTGTAGTATACATTTGGGCGCGGCAGCAGCAGCGAAAAGCAAAGCAAAGTTGTGAAAACTACGAGATATATCCGATATATATACTGTTGCGTCCGCTATTTTGATACCAACGAATACAAGACCACCACTGAACGAGAACCAAACCAATTGCGGAACCAACCGACTAATCAATCACCGAGAAAATCAAAAGCAATAAGCGTTTAGCGTTAAGCGTGTCTGTGTTTTTGTGGATCATCCTCCGGAACGATCCTTGGAAGAGCTATAGCTGCATTGTGATTTCATTTTACCTGCAAAACGCGCAAGAAACCAAAAATCAAACACGAGACTGGTCTCTCATTTTGTAACCGACCGACTCTTTGTGACCAAGCCAACGCCAAATTTTTAAACGTTTTTTGACCAAAACTTTACTCTACAAATTAAAACAACTCTACTAACTCCACTAACTCTAAAATGGGTCTCTGCGCCTCCAAGGACAAGAAGGAGAAGGTGATCGAGGGCGAGGTGGCCAACGGCGGGGAGCCCAATGGCAGCGCCACGCCAGCCGCCGCCGGCGGAGGAGGAGATGGGTGTGTATCCTGGGTTTCGTTTGGGCCTAGGTCTCCTAGACGCCAGTTGTCTCTATAGCAGGAGGGGGGGCTGACGTCATGTGTGTGTGTGTGTGTGTAAGAGCACCCAAAAATAAAGTGCCATAAAAAAATTATTATTGCCCTGGTCCCTTGGTTTTGTCCAGGATTCTGTCGACTGGGCCGGGTCGCCGCCGCCGCCGCCATGTTGTTGTCCTGCGCATGTGCGGGGGAAGAGATTGAGAGTCCTTCAGCGGCGGGGAGCGGGCGTGTGTATAGTGTAGCCGTCGATTTGCGTATTCAGCGGCAGCCGGCGAAATTTTATAGTCAGCCAGAGCCACCACCGAAGTCGGAGTCAGAGCCACCACCACTGAAAAAGGGGCGTCGTTGTGGGCAGGGGTGATGTGTGTGTGATGGGAGTTGGGAGTAAGGAGTAAGGCTGTCGCGTGCCAAGTCGGGTATATGAGCACATGGCCATAACCCGAAACTAATTGCGGGCCAAACAACAGTCAGGGCACCGAGGAAACAGAAACGAAACAGAAACAGAGGCCATGCGGCCGACTTTTAGGCGCCACAAAACTGAGAACAAGCGCTAGCAATAAAAAGCTTAAACTGTCTGTCGTCGTCGTCCCCCCCCCATGAATGCCAAATGCCACGCCCTTTTACTAATGGTCAACCCTCTTGTTATTATTATTTGCAGCAAACAAGACACCATGGTTGATGCCGCTGTTCTCGCTAAACTGGAGGAGGGTTATGCCAAGCTGGCTGCCTCCGACTCCAAGTCGCTGTTGAAGAAGTACCTGACCAAGGAGGTCTTCGACAACCTGAAGAACAAGGTCACGCCCACCTTCAAGTCGACCTTGCTGGATGTGATCCAGTCCGGCCTGGAGAACCACGACTCCGGCGTTGGCATCTACGCCCCCGATGCTGAGTCCTACACAGTGTTCGCCGACCTGTTCGACCCCATCATTGAGGACTACCATGGTGGCTTCAAGAAGACCGACAAGCACCCGGCCTCCACCTTCGGCGATGTGGCCAGCTTCGGCAACGTTGACCCCACCAATGAGTACGTGATCTCCACTCGCGTGCGCTGCGGCCGCTCCATGCAGGGCTACCCCTTCAACCCCTGCCTGACCGAGGCCCAGTACAAGGAGATGGAAGGCAAGGTCAGCAGCACCCTGTCCGGCCTCGATGGCGAGCTGAAGGGCAAGTTCTACCCTCTGACCGGCATGGAGAAGGCCGTCCAGCAGCAGCTGATCGACGATCACTTCCTGTTCAAGGAGGGCGATCGCTTCCTGCAGGCTGCCAACGCCTGCCGCTTCTGGCCCAGCGGCCGTGGCATCTACCACAACGATGCCAAGACCTTCCTGGTCTGGTGCAACGAGGAGGACCATCTCCGCATCATCTCCATGCAACAGGGCGGTGATCTGGGCCAGATCTACAAGCGTCTGGTGACCGCCGTCAACGAGATCGAGAAGCGTGTGCCCTTCAGCCACGACGATCGTCTCGGCTTCCTGACCTTCTGCCCCACCAACCTGGGAACCACCATCCGTGCCTCCGTGCACATCAAGGTGCCCAAGCTGGCCTCCAACAAGGCTAAGCTCGAGGAGGTTGCCGCCAAGTACAACCTGCAGGTGCGCGGCACCCGCGGTGAGCACACCGAGGCCGAGGGTGGTGTCTATGACATCTCCAACAAGCGCCGCATGGGTCTCACCGAATACGATGCCGTCAAGGAGATGTACGATGGCATCACCGAGCTGATCAAGCTCGAGAAGAGCCTGTAAATTGCCCGCACACCGCCGAGCATCGTCCCCCCAGCTGGCTCTGGTGAGAGAATCTCTAGACGTTAACACCTGTCCTACCACCAGTTGGGGCATCACGCAACAATCAACAACAAATAAACAACAACAACAACAGCAGCAGCTGCAGCAGCAACACTTAGAAATCTTCGGCTCGTCCGTCTCGTCGCTTTTGGACGGTTTCGAGCTGCAAAAGTCTAGTTTGTAGCGACGTAGTAGGTGTGGAGCAGCTGCTTTGTCCCAGCCCGGCGACCTTCGGCATTTTCATATACTTTGAGAGTCGCGGGCGGGCGGTCAGCGACCCCAACTTGCAACACCAACAACACCACCACCCGCGGCGGCAGCAGCAGCAGCAACAATGGATAAACTATTGGACAAGAAAAAAACATTTGCTTAATTACAACAACCAAACAATGTAAAACATTTTGACATCTGTGTCAAGCAAAAACAAAAAAAGAAACTTTAAATACTTTTATTTTAAGTCTTAAGTTTATAAAAGAATTAAAATTATTAAAAAATAATAAAAAAAAATAAATAAAAGGCTAAGAGAGGTGTGTTGTCTATGGGGAAATAAGGAAGAAAAATTAATACCAAAAAATTAAGCTGGAACGATGAAGAAAATTATGTGTATCAGGACTTATTTATGTATTTATTATATCATATAGTTTAAAGTTTATTTAAATCCAGATCAGGGCTTGTCATATATTTTTAAAATTTAAAATTTCGATAACAGCAAGTAAGTAAGTTCTTAACTGATGTAAAGTATATCAAGCATTGTTGCTGTTATCACTTGGCCTTGCCCTCGGCTTCTATCAGAGCTCGAATCCCGTCGTGCATCTCCCTGATGGTCTCATGCTCGGTTAAGCCCAAGCGCCGCTTGTTGGAGATGTCGTGCACCCCGCCCTTTGCCTCAGAGTGCTCGCCGTGAGTGCCACGGACCTGGAGATTGTACTTGTCAGCCAACTTCTGCAACTCCTCCGGCTTTTTCGTAAGATTCGGTAGTTTTATGTGAACCGAGGCGCGAATTGAGGTGCCCAGGTTGGTGGGACAAAAGGTCAGGTTGCCAAGACGTTCATCCCTGCTGAACTTGAGCTCCTTCGCCAGTTCCTCCACACCGGAGATCATGCGATCGTACACCCGGCCCAGATCGCCGCCCTTTTCCATCGCAATGATGCGCATGTGGTCCTCCTCGTTGCACCAAACCAGGAAAGTCTTGGCCTCGTTGTGAAAGATGCCGCGGCCTTTGGGCCAGAAGCGGGAGGCGCCAGCTGCTGCCAGGAATCGGTCGCCCTCCTTGAACAGAAAGTGATCTTCGATCAGCTGCTTCTGGACTGCCGGATCCATGCCGTCCAGAGGGTAAAATTTGCCTTGGTGCTCACCGCAGAGGGACATCAGAGCACAAGAGATCATGTCCTGCAGCTTAAGGTACTCGGGCTCCGTCAGGCAGGGATTGAAGGGGAACTTCTCGATCGAGCGGCCACAGCGCACACGCGTGGACTGGATGAATTTGTTGTCGGGATCTAGGTTTTCAAAGTCCTTGCCCTCTCCAAAACATGCCTCCGGATGCTTGGCCGCCTTGCAGAAGCCCTTGTGGTAGTCCTCGATGATCGGGTCGAACAGGTCGGCAAACACCGTGTACGCCTCCGGATCCGGGGCGTAGACACCCACGCCGGAGTCGTGGTTGCACAGTCCCGAGTTGATGCAGTGCAGCAGCGTGGACTTGAAGTGGGGCGTTGTCTTTGTTTTCAGCTTCTCGAAGATCTCTTTTGTGAGGTGCTTCTTCAGCAGCGACTTGGAGTTGGAGGAAGCGAGCTTCTTGTAGCCCTCCTCCAGGTCCTTCATCACCTCCGGGTCGACATCCCCGCACTGGCTGCCATAACGGTAATTTAGAATACGCTGCGGACTGCCGCCTACAATTTTAAGTCCAAACCGGAATTTTGAGAGTATCGACATTTTCGAAAGGTTTTTTGTTTTTCAATGGCAAGCCAGTGGAGCAGCTGCTGGCTATTGACGATATGCCTAGTTAAATCTTACAGATAAACCGACATAAGACGCAAAGATTTTGTATATACTATTATTTTCTTGTTGAATAAATGTCTAAATGTCTAAAATTCATAATTAAAGCTAACTTTGGCCAGCCAAAGTTTGTATACCCTTGCAGGTAACTTTTAAAATATATCATAACTAACCCAAAAATGCATTAATTTCGATTCGGAAAGCAGTTTTGTGTTAGTTTTTATTAATTTAAAAAAACTGCATACCAAATTTAAAATTTTAAGAAATCAAAATTTTTGGCCATTTTTGCTTATTTTAATGATGTAACCCCTTATAAAATTTCGCAAAAATGGCAAAAAAAATCGATTTCTTCCGGACATGTCTAGAAAGATTCGCATGTTAATGCTGATCAAGAATATATGTATGTGGTTTATGGGGTCGGAAATGATTCCTTGACTTAGAAAAATATTATTTTCTATTATATTAAAACTTCTAGATTTTTTTTTTTTTTAATTAAAAATATCATAACTCGGCCATAAGAGCATCAATTTTAAATCAGAAAACTGTTCTGTGCAAGATTTTCTACAGTTAATAAATCTGCATACTTCATTAAAAAATTTTGAAAATTCAATTTTTTATCAAAAATTTTAATGATGTAACCCCTTATAAAATTTTGCAAAAATGGCCAAAAAATCGATTTCTTCCTGACATATCTAGAAATATTCCCCTGTTGATGCTGATCAAGAATATATATGGTTTATGGGGTCGGAAACGTCTCCTTCACTGCGTTGCAAACTTCTGATTGAAATTATAATACCCTGCAAGGGTGTAAACATATTTGATGTGGAGATCATTGTTACCGTTTTAGCTTTTTTCAAGCTAGATTTAGCATATTTTAAAATTAAATAGCTTGAAAAATACTTGAAATCCATATAGCTTAAAATCTGGCTTATTTCAAATTTCATTTTCGATTCGCCAAAACTTCTTAATGAAATTATATTGGCAATCAATGCGCTAGGAAACCTCATAATTCCTCCCGATGCTAATATTGATATTTTGAAAGATGATTTGAAAGATTGTGCAGTTAACGACTTATATATGGGGTATGCCTTTGAGAAGGAAATCAAAGACAAAAAATATTTTGATGAAAAATATAAATATAAATCAGAGAATATTGTAAAAACTTCATCAAGGCTTTAATTATTCAACTAAGGGAGATGTAAGCTTTAATTGGATTTTAATAGAATGATATGTATTAATCTGCAGCGTAATTTCAGACTTCCTAATAACATTGAAGTTCTGAAAAAATTGATATCTTTGCCGTTGGCAATATAACGCCAGATAAAATTATTATATATAATAAGATATGGACTGCGACGTCATGGCAAATGTTGCCATGACTACCAACTTCCAACGAAATACCTCGCTTTAGTTCAATCATCCGCCAAATAAAAGTAAAAAATCAACTACTTTAATAAACATTAATGTATTTATTTTAGCTTTTTTTTTAATTTTAGCTAATTTTATCTCTCAAAATCTGGCAGCATTGCACTGAAGTCTCGCCAGGCCCTATATAAAGAGGGCCCGACCCTATAATTTCACCTGTTGTTCGGCAGCGGTCGACCAGGCTGTGCGGTGTGCTCCGGATTATTAACATTACCGCCAATTGTTTCGGAATTCGGATTTTTCGCCATTGATGGTACTTGTTCCTGTACTTCTTCAGGTAACGTCGACGCCACCGGTGCTGGTGTCGGCGTCCTGAACCACAGCAGTGGTGGTGGTCCAAAAGATGGGGAAGGCGCTGGCTCTGTCGGCGGAGGTGTCGGTGGCTCGGTTGCCGGAAGCCCGAGTCACGAAATCAAAAATTACGCTATTTTTAGTTACCACAACTCTTCCGCGAAACATGGCTAAATAAAAAAGGTTGCCCAACCATTTGAAATGGGCCCCCTTCCAGCCGCGGCCGAGGTTCTCCAGCTTTATGGTGTTGGCCTCTGAAAAGTCCCGAGTGCTGTGTGCCCTCATCCCCTGCAGCGCCTTGAAATACTCCTCCATTATTTCGCGGTAGAAGTTCCTTGCGTTGTGGGGGACCCGCTCCAGGTACCGCTCGATGTCTGGGCTGGGGTTCGTTTTTAAATCTTTTAAAAAACTGTTTAGCACTGTTTCTGCCACCGAAAATGTTCGGGAGAAGGTGACTACTAAATGGTCGTAGTCCGGAATCATCGGGAGCGTCAGGATCTTCTTACACTGGGTGTTAAGTATACACTGATCGCTCACCACCGCCATCATGTTGTCGTACACCTGGAGGCACTTTCCGGCGTGAAGAAGGTTCCTCAGGTCGAGGGCCACCTCAGTCGCGCCCAGCCTTCTGTTTTTATGCGACAGCCGCACCGAGAGCACCCGGCTCAGGACGCCGTCAACGCTCGTCCCTATTATCGTTAGGACTTTGAACTTATACTCTCCGACCGCAAAATGCAGGTCGTCGAATATAATAAAGAACGGCGTCCCTCTGAACCCGTCTAGATTGCTGTATAGGGACAGGTATTCCTTGTCCAGCTGTTCGGCCTTGTCTGGCATTTTGAGTTTATTCAGGAGATAATTTTTTGATCCATGAGGATGTGGAGCGACCCTCGATAATCGCTTATACTTGTTCGATGCAACCCCGCATCCAAAATGGCTTATTAGGATATGGAGCATCAGAAATAGCGCAGTAAAATTAGCCATTAACTCTCACCTTTTCGACGAGATCGGCCAACAAAATTATTTAAAATGTCTGCAAGCTAAAAAGCCCGGCTCCTCCAAATCAAAATCCTTTTATGTATATCGCTGTGGTCGCCGATTTCTGCAGATTAGCAAATTAGCAAGCACAAATTCACGTCTTAACTTTCCGGAGACGATCCAGGCAGTGTTGTGAAAGGCAAATTCGGGTTTTCCCCTAAAAAATCTAGGATGGGGTAACCGATGATTCGCCGGAAATCGGTATTTTTTCTGAAATACATTCGGGATTTCGACCCACATCGGATATAATTCGCGAACAGCCCCTATGGACGAGATGATTTTTCGAAAATGCGCGTTTGAAAAAAAACCGCCGCTCGACGAGGCTGCCACCCTGCCAGCAGAACTGCTTCGTTCAGCCAGAAACTGCTTGCCGGACGAAACTCGGAAGTCTGGCAAGGCTGAATCACAAATTCAAATCTACATAGATGGCGCTTTTGCAGTTTGTTGTTACAAATGTTTAACGGAATTTATTTTTAAATTTAAATTAAAATTAAGAAATAAACAAATTTAATACAAAAAAAAAATTGAACAACAAGTTAACGAATATTTACAAAGCCAAATTAACAATAAACAAGGGATAAAATCACAGAAAATTTGAAAATTAATTTTCGTTAAAGTTTATTTATATTTTCGTTATTGTTTCTAATTAGGACAATATAAAATATTAAATATTTAAACATTATAAATAATTTAATTCAACTTCGAGTTTATATAAATATTTATATAATTTTCATTTAATCCCAAAATATGAGAAAAAACAATTAATAGTGCAGAAGAAAAGGTAGTGCCGCCAAAATTCTAATGAATGAATTAATAATAAAAAAAAGGTGTGCTAAATATAATAAATACTTCGAGTCTTAAATAAATAACTGCCGTCGCCACTCGACCTGTTCTCGTTCGCACAATTTAATTAAATGTTTGCGGCCGTTGGTTCGATCGTAAAACAGAAAACGACAACATTTTTATAGCTTAAAGCTTAAATACCAAATCAAATATATTATAATTAGCAATAAAGCGCAACAAAAGCAGAGAGCGCAGAGCGGAGGCTGGGGCAACAACTACACCTTAGCATGTGGCGCAAATAAAATTCAGATCCGAACGGCAACACCTTCTCAATAAAGCATCGTTATCCTCATTATCATTATCAACAGCTTTGACCGCAAACCGGATTTGGATTTGGAATTGGAATTGGAATTGGGCATGGCTTTGGGTATGGGTTTGCGACCGAACGACCGACCAACCAACCTACACATAAAAATTCATTAAGTTTATTAAAACAAGCGCAAATTAGAAATGCAATACTGATTTCCATTTTTATCTCATAATCTACGAATTTTGACGCTTTTTGCCACCGTTTTTGTGCAAAGAAAGAAGCGAGTCGCGGAATAGAGCCAGCATTTAAAAAACACTTCTGAGGCGCAGGCGCAGACGCCGACAACATTTTATGTTTTTTTATGTGTCTCTTAGCCCCCCTTTGTTTTTGGTGAAAACGTGCAAATCCCATAATTTAATTGTTTCAGCCATTCCGAATGCAAATTTATGCGCCAACAAATCCAATCGAAGTGGAGAGAGAATCGTAAAGCGCTAATGCCAACAACTAAGCCCAAATTAGTCAAAGCCGCCTTCGGACGCGGCTTCGTGTGGCCAGTGAATTATTTCGCGCTGCCTCGGATTACATTATGCAAAGTTTTCTATGAATGGAAGCCACCGGGGGTTCGATCTCCCTTTGATTAGGCCGCCAGTTAGATTCTCTAGAGAGATCGCTCTCTCTGTGTGTATGCTGGCTCCTGCTTCTGGGCCGCACTTAAAAACTTAATTAAAAATATTAAACACGAAATGTTTGGCGCCACCGTTTAGGAAGCCCTCAAAGTGGACCGCACACATCAACGGCCGGCCAGTTATCAGCTCAATTATGCAAGCTGAAAGGCAGCCGCCGCCGGCCCACAGACAGATTTGTCGCATTTGACACGATAATGCAGCCGAAGGAGTGACCACACCAAAGTCGAGACCAGAGTCCGAGTCGGACTCCAACGTGGACGTGGACGGCAGTTTCTTGGCCAGCTCCCACTTCGGTTTCGGCCATAAAAGGTGCGATAAAACGAAAATTTCACAAGGCGGGCAGCAGTGGCATATGCACAGGGAGAAAAACGAAGGGACTTGTCACTTGAAATATAAGTAAATTTGAACCGAGAGTAAAAGAAATAAATAAAGTATTTAAAATAATAATATCAATTGTAAAAGTGGTAAGGAGTGGAGACCTATATAGTCTTTTGATTTTCCTTCAGAATTACATA